TAATCTTGAGTTTATTATAAATAGGTAATCAAATAGTTTTCATTCTTTGATTTACCAACGGGTGAGGTTCGATCTATTGACGGCCAATAACTCGGTATTTTGGGAGTGAGATTATTTGATTATCGGTATTTATGAGATAAACAACATGGAATTTGTAGGATATGTCCCCTTGATATGTTTCAGTACTTGGATATTAAAGACACTGGCCAGTGCATGTAATCCATCAGAGAAACTATCATAGTCAAGGGAATAAATAATTGATTGAGTTACAGAAAACTTGTCAATCAATTATAGACATTCTACAAAGGGGTGATGCATATTCATGTTATAAGTGTTGTTAATCTTGGAGTTCAAGTTCGGGCTTTTAGTGGAGTAGCACCGAATTAGATAATCATTCGTTGATTATCAAGAGCCTTGATTAATAACAGATGGTAGATCCCCAAGCTAGCTTGAGACAGGGGATGGGGTATTTTTCAGATAGATGATGACTTATGAGTTACATGATCTTGGGTTTTACGACTCAAGTTTGTATCCAAAAGAGCAAGTGGGAGATTGTTGGGTTTGCTCTTTTACTAAAGCCCAAATGGGTTATTAGTATGAGAAGAGCTCAAGGAACCTAGGGCCCAATGAGCTAGGGTTTCTTGGAACCCATATAAATAGTACATCTTAAGTCATCAGCCTCTTAGGTCTTTTTTGTGAGAAAGAGGCAAGCTCTGAATCTAATCAGTGCCCACACACTTCCCCTTCCTCCTCGAGAGATAGTTTGGAAGATCTGCCACAGTCCAGCTTCGAGGAGGTTGTTCGTGCTGCGGCGCTGAGGTGAGCTGTTCGTGAAGAGGAATCCTACAAGGGAAGATTCTACACGAGACCTGCGCACCGAGAGGTAATTGTGAAACAAGGATGATTCGGTAAGCATACCAATGTACTAGGTCCTAAACCGCTTCCGCATAAATCTAAGATTTCCTACAAGAAGAAGATGTTAATCATGCCCAACTTGACAATTGCTTCGCCTAATACTTATTTTTGTCAAAACATGAGCTAGCTGATTTTCAGATTTAACAAAGGGAAAATTAATAATCTTCTTATTGAGTTTCTCTTTTATAAAGTGCCTATCTCTGGGGTTTGAAAAAAAAATTTACTGAATATAATATTATCAAATCTTATCTAACATTTTGCCTATTAGAATGTTGGAGGGTTTTGATATTAACTACTAGTCACTGCTTAGATCTCCTTCAGTTAATCATAATTAACTCGTCATTATTACTAAGCAACTCACCAAATGAAAGATCGATCCAACAGCACCTAATGAGTTAATAATCTAAACTACCAAATCCTTACCTTCTGTTTTAATAAGAGGTTTTGTGCATGTGTAGGCACCAACTCGAGTGCTAAAGCCAATTACTTATATGGTGTACGGATTTAAGTCTTTTACGAGAGGTGACTTTTTAAACAATCTATGAATGAACAAACGTGTATAAGTTTGAAAGAATCTTGTGTGTTTGCGCATTTTCATACAATTTTAAAATAAAATATTGAATTAATGCAAAAGCAAACTCTTTTTTTACACATGTACAAATCAAGGTTTGTCACATGAGATGTATACATTTCAATTGCGTATTGGATAATGCGTGGTTTGCACATGTAAAAATCAAGGTATGTCACATAAGATGCTACAAATGTCACATGTACAAATCAAGGTTTGTCACATGAAATGAAATGCTACAAAATGCATATGGGGTTCGAGCACACATCTCACGTGCATCTTGTAATGTGTTCACGTGGCAGGCCCTTATTTGTCCATGTGCAAGTCGCACTCTTATTTCATGCGTGTCTTGAACATTATTTTGGAAAAATATTTTGCTTTTGCATTAATTCGGTTTTATAATAAATTGCATTAAAATGATCAAAATGCCCATATTTAACATGTTCCTTATATACTCACTAGTGGGGAAGCAAGGGAGAACAATTGTCTCCCAAATTCATATAAATCTTTAAGTCTGAAACAATTCTTTTAGAAATTAATGTCTTTCATGTTTTATGAAATAATTTTATATATACCTTACACATATTTAAAAGTGTGTGCCACATTATCTTTTTATCTCTCTTCTTTTCACATAGTCGGGCATGAGCCCCACATAATTTTATATATGTATAAGAGATAAAATTATCTCCTACAACATGAGAAACAATAATCTTTTTTTATTATATAATTAATGATTCCATTATAAGGGCAAAACTTACACAAACCTTTAATCATAAGTAATATTTTTATTTTTTATCACATATATAATTATAACTCCAAATAAAAATATACATTGCTATTTAGCTCAACTTATAAAATTTCCCCAAAGCTGATCCTTACATTTCACACGGTCATCCCGTTACTTCTTGTTTCTTCTTACTAGTAAAAAATGACAACTGATTGGTGCTTTTATTGACACTATAGAAAATTGGAGGCATTGCTACGCAGTTTGCATGGTGTTCCCATTACAATTTCTACATTCACATCTCATAAATAAAAGACATAACAGTAGCAGGAGGTTCAGAATTCGACAAGAATGTAGGCCCTCCACCCAACAAGAAAACTAGAAATAAGTAATCAATAATTAAATATTGCTTTCAAATTCAATATCAGCCATGACAGAGTTACACCTTAACTCTAGAATTGAGTCTTTCCATCATAATGACCAAGGTTCTATTATCTGATAGCTAGGCATTTACAAAGTCAAAAGCAGAGATAAAAAGAGATGCAAACTAAGCCACACAGAAACACACAGAGGACACAGACAATCCCTCAACATCAATTTAATCCAAATAAATAGGTCTGGACCATAGAAATAAGATTTTCTGTACTACAATTTTATTTTATTTTAATTCTTAATTGCTTGGTCCAGCTTAAAGGTGTCAATTTTTGCATTTCAATTTATCATATCATATCTGGCTAAAAATGTTCAGATTTTAGTAAAATCACAAAAACAACTCAATAGCCAAAATGAGGCATTGTAACTATTTTGATTTTTATCGATTTAATTCTTGTAACAAATTATTTATCAATATAATAAAGTGAAACACATTAGGTGTGTGCGTATTTAAGTTACACATCACCCCCATGTTCAATTTGTGCAAAAGTCAAAAAATACCTGGCACATGTTGCACTCTGCATTATGCGCATGATCAGGTGCATGCGCTACTTAAACGTATATACTCAGGATGCGTCTTGTATCACATTAATTTTTGCATAAATCGCGCACAAAAACAATGTTCTACTTAAACATACATACTTCTCGTACATGTTTCACTTGCATTAGAGGTTATGTATATCTTGTTTAAGATGAGAAGAGAGATTTTATCACACACTCAAATTTTAGTTGGAACCAACTAATATTTTTTCTCTCTTCAGTGGCTCGTGGGCTCCACGTGACTCTTGTGCCTGCAGCTGGAGAAGAATCATTTTCCTGCAGATATATTTAACCTTTTATTTATATATATATATATATATATATAATTATTTTTGTGGATATGTGTGAAGGGGAAAATATAGGGAAGAGTGACCATTTTGCTACACTTGGCAAAAAAATTTATCAGATTGCCACGCCAATAGTAAATTTTGTCAAAATGCCACGCTGCACCCTTAGCCGTCGTTGAAGAAGTTTGAAAATATAACTAATTCGCATTATCTTATCTTAACTCTTAATTATTTTCAAACTTCTTCAACGACGGCTAAGGGTGCAGCGTGACATTTTGGCAAAATTTACTGTTAGCGTGACAGTCTGATAAATATTTTTTGCCAAGTGTGACAAAATAGTCACTCTTCCAAAATATAGGATTAGGGGGACAAAAATCCGTACATTGTATGTGCAAGAGAGAGAAGAGGGTGTGGTTGGACAACAAATTAGACAAAAAAAAGGGTAAGAAGGAAAAGAGAGAAAGAGAGAAAGGCAGTTTGGATTGAGAATTAGTGTGAAAGGCACTAGACAACGAGACATAAGAAGAACAATAAATGTGAGAGATAGAAAAAAAGGGGTCAAGAGGGTGATGAGCCTCATCATAACCCTCATGATCGTTACGTCGCTTTACATTCTCACGTCCCCAAAAATCTCCCAGAATTCCACGCTTCCTTCTCTTCTTCCTCACTCCCTTATTCCTCTCTCTCTAAACACACCACACCTTTCTCTCTCTAAACTGCCTAGTCAGCCTCATGTCGACCTCACTTTGTCCCATGTTACAGATACACACCATTCTCTCTCTCTTTTCTCACTCTTTTTTCTCTTCCTATATGCTATGTAGTACTAGAGAGTGATCAATCCCAATCTCTGAATGTATGTCTCAGGCACTTACATTATATACTTTTATTTTATTTTATAAATCATCGTGTATTTTTTACCGGAGTCAATTTTGTTTAGGGCGAGTTTAGCTCAAAAATGATAATGAGAAAGATCGAACACATACTTTTAACTCTACTTGTTCAATTTTTATGTGCTAACTGAACTACCATCTTTTCATACTTAAATTATACTTCAACCAACTCATTTTCAACAAAGGGTTTTGCTTTATTAGCATCAATCTATATACTATATATGAACTTTGTCTACTTTTCATTCTGAAGGAGCTATACGAGTTACCATTTTCTGGTCCACCCTCACATCACAAACCTTGCATGCTACCACTACACTTCACACTACAAACTCACTTTTTTTTTTTTTTTTTCAACTTCAACACCATTCTTGTACTCTTTCATTTCAATTCCCATTACCAAGTGACAAGGGAAGAAAGAGACAGAGACAAAGAAATCTATTTAAAGCACTCTCACTTTATATACACAACACACCCCATTTTAACTATTATTACATTATATTTTATATTCCCTTTCATTAGTTCTAATCCTTTATGTATATTAGCTGATATAGCTAGTAGCTTCATTCTGCTATTTATAATCTTTCTCTATCATCATCCTTGTCACTACACAAAAGAGTGACCAAGAACCCTAGCTAGTTACCAAAATGTGGATGGTGGGTTACAACGAAGGTGGTGAGTTCAACATGGTTGATCATTCATTCAATGGAATGAAACTCAGGCCTCTGATGCCAAGGCCAATGACTTCTCCTAACAATGCTTCAACAACAACAACAACCACTCCTATCTTAAGCAGCATTCATGGCAACAATGATTTCTTTTCACAATATCATTATCACCATCTTGGTATATATGCTGTTTTTACTTTTTACCCTTTTTTTCTTTTCTTTTTTCTTTCATTCTCTGTCTTTCCCTAGTTGTATATGCTGTTTTCATTTGTTGGTTTGTCTTTTCTGCATGTGACAATGAATATGTGTACAAAAAAAATTGTTTGTTTTAGGAACAGTGACAGAGCAAAGCAAGAGAGAGCAACTCAATGCTCCACCAGTTGTTGTGAGCTCAAGGTGGAATCCTACCCCAGAGCAGCTAAGAGCCCTTGAAGAATTATATAGAAGAGGGACAAGAACACCATCTGCAGAACAAATCCAGCACATCACTGCACAGCTTAGAAAGTTTGGTAAAATTGAAGGGAAGAATGTTTTTTATTGGTTTCAGAATCACAAAGCCAGAGAAAGGCAAAAGCGCCGCCGTCAAATGGAGTCAGGTGCTGATCAGGGTCACCACCACCACCACCATGATACTAATACTCAAGAGAAGAAAGATTTAGGTACACCCTCGTACCAATCTTGGTTCATAATCATTTATTCATATAGGTTATGATACTTTTAGTTCTTGGCTTTTTATTTTTAATGTATGGCTTTTTTTCCATTGAGTTTTATTTGTTGGAGATCTGTGTTCTGTGTTGCTTGAGATGTAAAGTTGTATTCATTTGTTTTTCTTTTTGTCTACAGCTGCAAGTAGGACAGTGTTTGAAGTTGAACAGACCAAGAACTGGGCACCCTCTACAAACTGCAGTAGTACTCTTGCAGAGGTCAAATATTCTATATATCTAATATTCTGCCTTGTCTCCTTGTTTTTTGTTCATGGACTAATACCCTTTTGCTTTTTTCAACTCGTGATTCTCTTAATGGTCAAAAAGTTCATAATCATATCCATTAAGGGGTGATTATTTGCATATGATTGATTACTAGAGATCAAGTTGATGTTGGGAACATATATTATGGAAAGATCTGCACTAGCTAGGGAAAAGACCCAACAAAAGCTTTATTTGTTGGGAAATGAGAAGGGCCTAAAAGCTGCATTCCTTCCTTTCTGTCGGGGCTGCTGTTAATGAAACTTAGCTGGGCTTTTGGGGTTTGTGCTTATTCATGTCATTTTGGTCACAGTAGTTTTTAGGGCACCCCATAATATTCTATATATGCAACTGAGAGAGCACCTTTGATGATGGAAAAGACAACCACTCCTTACTTTAATTTGACTTCACTTAGACCATGCACACTTTTAATTGATGGCTTTTTAACCAATGCAATACAAAATATAAAATAAAATAAACATATTTTGGCAAACTATTCACCAATCTAATACCATTGAAACACCAATGGAAAGTGTGTGCGTTCAAGATGCAAATCACCTTCGTGTGTGACTTGTGCAAAATCCAAAGTGCATCTACCACATATCGTGCTTTGTAAGATGTGCACGCAGGTGTGAGTGATTTGAACGCAGACTGTCAAGATGCATGTCTTGTATTGTGTTAATTTTTGCACAAATTGCACATGAAGATGACACGCGACTTAAACGCGCGTACTCTCATTTCACTTGCATTAGATGGATAATTATTTTGTTAAATGAATTAAACCCTTATTATTTTTATTTATGTTGAGGTTTTCATGTGTTTGCATGCCTGCAATTAAAATCGACAGGATTCTGTTTCAACACAAAGGGCATCAAAAGCAGCGGTTGCAGAGTGTAGAACAGATGGATGGGTACAATTCGATGAAGGAGAATTACAACAAAGAAGAAACTTTTTGGAAAGGAATGCCACATGGCACATGATGCAGTTTTCTTGTCCTCATACTCCTGCACCTGTCACCGACCTCATAAACACCCTTCCTAATGCCTCTGCAACTATTATGGCCACTACTACAACCACAGTAACAACAAGAACAATGGACCCAAAGCTCATTAACAACCATGATCTCAGCCTTTTTATTTCACCTCATAAAGAAAACAGCATTATCCACTACTTTAGCAATAACAGTAGTAAATGTGATGATAACTCTGTGGAATCTCAAACCCTTCAACTTTTCCCACTAAGGAGTGATGATGGAAGCAGTGATAACATCAACGATAAAGAGACAGACATATCAGCTTCAGCAATGAATGCCAACTTGACCCCAAACCAGTTTTTTGAGTTCCTTCCATTGAAGAACTAATCAGAGACACAACTATATATGTCTGTAGTAAAATGATGGATTTGTATTTTGATGTTGTTAGTTTTGTTCAAAGAATGGCACTGCTTTTATTGTTAGTGATGTTATGTTTCAAGGAATTGGTGCTGTAACAGGACACTGAGTTTGAATGAAGGCATTTTACCATAAAGTGCATTTGGACTATGTTGGTTGAATCAAAAGGAGTATTTACATTTTAAAGGGTTAGGGTTTAATATCCCTTATTTAAGTAACTTGATAGTTGATATATATGTCTGCATGTGGGTTCTGATGAATGAGTGAAACAGGAAAAACAGTGGAGGGAGGGAGACTTTAATGAAGAATATATAAGGAATTTGATCTGAGGGTTTGATTTGAAGACATAGTATCTGAAATGGGAATAAGATGTGACTTACTTAGATGTTGAAATAACTATGAGTTTAGGTTGGAGAATTCTTTTGTTCTTTTGTTACATACATGGAAAAAATGCTGTGGTATACATATGGGGTGCCTTACATCATTCATTTAATTTCACTGCAAATTATGACAATGGAGAAATCACATCAATGCAAGAGAAGAGAAAAGGGCCAGGCGCATTTAAAGTAAAGTTCATGAGTCAATTGAAAGGTGCTTAGAATTTCATACAAAATGTCAAAACACATATATTTATGTAGTATATATGCATTTATATATATTGTACGTACTTTTTCCCCTAGCTAAATGATGCTATTATAACAAAGTACTTTTGAGTTTTGTGAACCAGAAAGCGAGGAAACACAGTTTTTAAGCGCAATTTTGCCAAACTTGTCTTTCTTATATTTTTGTGAGTATAAACTTAACATAATTTGCTTGGTAGTATGAGAAAATGATTTACCTTGGTTCACATATCACACATGTCAATAATATTATGATCGGTTCAAGAATTGTGATAAAAACATGAAGGATTGTTCACGTCAGAGGCGGACCGAGGAAGCTGCCCCTTCCTAAATTTTAATTTTTTTTGTTATTTTATGTAATAAATAATATTTTTTATCAATAATAAATTATTAGTACTAATAGTTAGTCTTTCTCAAAATTATTTATGATAGTTAATATCTCCTATTAGTCTTAACTCTTAATAGTATGTATAAAATTAAATTTTTATTTTCAGCTCCTATTATAAAAAATTCCAGGTCCCCCACCGGTTCACGTATAATATAATATTGGAAAAAACTATTCTTGTGTCAACTGACTTAAGTTTTCTTTCCCACACACCATTCCATAACTGTGTCACTTTTTTTTTTCTTTTTTTTTTCAGGTGGTGGAGCCCACTAGTTTATCTCTATGACATGAGATAACTATCTCCTTTAACATGAGATTAATAAAACCCTATAATATTACATGAGAACATGTTTCAGAAATTGATTATATCAAGAGTTTTTTTATCTCTATATTCCTACCTATTCCAACTGTCTGAATTGGCATTTCTAGAGCTTCATCTTTAGATCCACCCTAAACTAGTATAAAATTGGTACGAAAACTCTACTGTACAAATATATATATATATATATATCCAGGGTAACAATAGTCAAACAATTAAAAGGAGCAAATATACAAATTTGAGAGACTATATATAGCCTAAGAATAGCTATTGTTCTATGAACTAGCTAGCATGCTGATTCCTACATGCTGATTCCTAAGAAAAAGAAGGAAGCTACCGTTATTAATTAAGTCTAAATTAGTTCATCGGTTTAAACATGTATACTTTCATTTTATAAGTTCTTTAGTTAGATATCCTTAGTTTGATTTTTAAAAATCACAAACTCATACGTGGAGGAAAATAATTAGAGAAATAAAAAAAAAACAATTTTCTAACTAAAATGATGATTTTTGGACAAGGATTTTTAGGTAGAATACTGGGGGACCATAATTTAAACAATATGCATATCCATGCATTGGAAGTTTCATGATAAGGAACACATTTTGCATGTCTGTTCATGGTGCTTGATTAAAAACTCTACTTCACTATCTCAAATTGATGGTTTCAACTTTCAAGTTCACTTCTGCAGAAAACCACAATGAAAGAAGAGAATTATCTATTCCCAAAAAAAGAAGAAGAAGAATAGAATTATCACCCCATGGGTTAAGCGAAAAACCACGAGTGAAATGGATACTATATCTTAACCAAAGCTTAAGACAATAAATTTATGAGTTATTTATATTTATATAATTCTCCTTAGTCCATTTTCAAATAATATATATAAGACTTCCTAACAATTGAATTACGAGTTACTTCCACGTTGGATGGATGCACCCTTAGTCCCTTAGTTGCGTGCACGGTATAGAATTAAACATAACATAACTATAACGATTCTTCATAATAATTGAGTATCACAAATCATTGGCATAATATATAGTAATTTGTTAGATACATTGGAAGAGTACATGCCAATGTATGTATGTTAGGTTCTTTTCCAAAGAAGAGGATGTGGCTAAAGAATAATATATACCCTTTTGTTTCTGAAATCCAAATCCAAGACAAAGTAAATTATTATTGTTATGAGTGAGACAAGAATTATTATATGAGACTCAATCAAATCCAAAAAGTTCATTGATCTACACACTAGCAGAAGAAGATGCTTTTTTACCCCTTTAACCCCACTTATGCATTGCCTCTGCATTGGGTCATTAAATCAATGAGTCAGTGCTTGTTCAGATTTAGCATTATATGGTTCAAATATCTTTTATCATTTTGGCAAAAAAATCAAATATTGGATAAAAATCTGAACTCTGAATCACCAAAAGCATGTTAGCAAATGACTACATAAGTAATAGAATGGCTTTCTTTAGCTGAACTGTTTCCACTTTACAGTAAAATCAACTTTTAAATGAAAAAGATTGCATGGCCTCTGCAACATGTGGTAAGTTTTGTTGCTATTAACTAATCAATTGGTCATGGCTTATTTATATATATTTGGGGTTGATGAATTTAATTATCTTTAGAAACTGATCACGGGTGGTTTTCTAGTGCAGAAGTGGCAGTAATAATTTGTAAAAATGGTTTCCCACACTGGTTTTTCTCTGTTACTTAACTATTATTTTGTACTAATTCAGTCCCTACTGCATCTACTGGACACAGGTAATTATTTTGTACTAATTCAGTCCCTACTGCATCTACTGGACACAGGTACAGAAACAAATACCCAATGCAGCAGAGACTGATCGCTTTTAAAGGTAACTCAACAAACAATCTGGGAGAATCATAAGTCACATTGGAAACTAGGAACAAAAAGTTTATCACTTTTTCACTTGTGAGGAATACTCAGAATAGAACTTTGAACTTGAACTTTGAAATTTTCAAAAAAAAAAAAGAATAGAACTTTGAACTTGGAATCTTTTTGCATATCTCTCTCTGTATATATATATATATATATATATATAGGAAAAATGTGTATCATCTTAAAGGATGTAAAGTTGTGTCATTTTAAGTGAGAGAAAAAGATAGATAAAGAATAAGAGAAAGTTGACAACAAAATATAAAAGTGTGAGTCTCACCTTTTTGTGAGAGTAAAATGACATAAATTATGTCATTTAAAAGGACAAACAATTTTCATATATATATATATATATATATATATATATTCCTTGTGATATGCTCAGGCATGATATAGGAGCTAAAGTAAGATTTTTTCTTTTCGCTAAAAAGGATTTCAAATAAAATTTACCATATGGTTTTCTTCCTTTTTAATGTGCATATTTGATAGTTACCAAAAAAGATAGTTACCAAATGATCTGGCTTTTTTAATTTTAAATGTTTATACTTTATAGTTTTCAAATGATGAGAATGTCTTCTTCATCAAGGGTTTGCATTTTAAAATTTCTAGAAAAAAAATTAGTTTCAATATTTGATATGTAATATAAAATTGTTCATATATTTTCTTTTATGAATTAATGTTTTTCCTATAACAAAAAATAAAGTTATCTGTAACAACCTCAAAATAACATCACTTTGAGATTTAAAAAAAAAACCAGGGTATTTTAGTAATGTTCATAACACAAGAGAAAAGTAAAATTTTCAAAATACCATTCATTTTTTTTCCTATTCCCCAAAACAATATCATTTTGAGGTTGATAGAGATAATTTTATTTAGAAAAACACTTTTCCCTTTTTTTATTGCTTAGCTTTTTGAGAAAATTAGTTCATGTGTCGCTAAGTGTAATGTCTACCACTTCAACTCAAAACTAAGGTGTTGTGTGAAGACCTTTTTAATGGTTCATATTATTCTTTACCACACTCCCTTATCAAGACCTCTTGATCTGTGGATATGTCACAATAACAGTGGAGAGAGAGAATATAAGCAAGTCTATGATGTGTTGATTCAGTGGGATACGAGAGAAACACCAACCCTTTAAACAGTTAAGTGTGAGTGAATTGAATTACCAGCGAGGGGGTGCTTCAAGAAATCTTCCTTATTCTTGATCTTAAGAAATTTTGTTGCAACTTTTAACTGATGAACTATGAATCTTGTTGATTGATGTATCATTCTTTAGAGTATGAATGCTTTGTAATCATGTCTATGATTGAGTCTTTCCTGTTAAAATTCCATGCAATGGAGGATTCCTACTCCCTATTCCTTTAGGGAGCGTTTGGTATGTGAGATATTTTTTTTACCGGAAAGAAAAGATTTCTGAAAATATGGAGGGAAAATTTTTTTGTCGAGTAAATTACAAAAAGATTTTTGGTAGGACAAAATTTTGTCGGGAATATTAAGTTAATTTTACAAATGCTATGTTTGGTTATTTGTAAAATATTGGTGGGAATCATGACCTAAATGACAAAATTACCCTTATTTTTGAATTTTGTAATGACAAAATTGACATCAAAAAATCTGACACTGGTGTCCCTTATCTCCAGTAAGATGTTCTTATTATTATTATTATTATTATTACTATTATTATTATTATTTTGTTTGTTCCATAATGCAAAAACCTGACAACATCAATTGAGCTGAGTGGGCCGAAGACGA